CATATACACAGTAATACCTTGGTTTACAAGTAACTTGGTTTGAGAGTGTTTTGCAAGACAAGCAAACATTTCGGAAAATGTTTGCCTTGCTATACAAGCAATGTCTTGCAATAAGAGCAAAATTTTGTAGAAAACCACCACCGAATAAGGCTGAAGCAGTGCGAGCGATGAGTCTGTTTAACGTCAATGCAATGTCACCTTGTTAAGGTTTCACGAAATGAAAGATTCCATTGATTCAAGAGATAGCAGTGATTCCGTTAGTGATAGTGAAAGTCGTCCTACACAATAATCCTCCTCTCTCTTGTCCCCCTCACACCAGCCACGAAGGTACCTGTAATTGGTTTTTTTTCTTTATATTTTGTACTGTATTATATTACCGTACAGTATTGTAATCATTGTTATATGAATATTTTGGGATTGTGGAACGAATAATCTGAATTTCCATTATTTCCTATGGGGAAATTCGCTTTGATATGCAAGCGATTTGGATTACAAGCGTGCTGCCAATTATGCTCGTAAATCAAGATTATATATATATATATATAATCAGGTATACACATATACACACACAAACTGTACATGATTTTAAAACATTAAACAGATAAGATCAAAATGTCAAAGTGTAAAATGATTCTTTCACAGCATACGCATTAGAAATCACTGAAAAGAGTATACATTCCCTTTAAAATCACTCAGGTAGTTTAGACTATAAAGAATGCAGACCCTCTTCCTCTTAATAGACCATACGGCTTTATAAAATACAGTTAGTTAAAATACAGTAAGTGTCGAACTTTTTGAGCCTTTCTATTTTTATCCACATAAGCTTAAAGTGACAATATAACTCAGGAGTTAAAAATGCATTCAAGTACCTTAATTATTAACAAAAACATAGCCACACTCCAGAAGGAAGGACAGTGTCAGCACCAACTCAGAGATGATTTGAGGATCTACAACGGAGTGATACACAAATAAGATACTTTTTTGTTAGCAGTTAAGGTACTCAAATGTGTTTTTAAGATTTAACTTCTGAGTTTAGTGCTACTTTAAGATACTATAGGCTCCTAGTTTGGACTGCATATTTAATGATTTCTCCATTAAAACACAACTTCAAATCAAAACTGCTTTTTTAGCTTGGCATTTAGGAACTCTGTAAGCTTTGTATTACTGTCCTTTTTGTATGATATCTCCTAATTTTCTGTCTGTTTGACAGAACAGGAAGTGAGGGAAAATCTCCGCCTTCCTGTCTATTATGTGCCAGACAGAGGTAAAGTTCCATGCCTCCCAACTGGAACACAGCCTGAATTACACAAACTTTTTTAAAAGAGTAAAAAAAGGTTAAGCGCTTCTGTCAGGATTTTATTTCGGTCTGATTTCCCCTCACTCCCCGTCTAGGTGACAAACATCAGACAGAAAGGGAAGCAAAAAGAAATCTCCTTAATAGGGACACAAAGGACATTTCAAATCAGACAGAGGTTTTTATTTTTTTCCCCAAATGAAAACACGTTTTGGCTGGAGCTGAGCTTTACTTTGTTCACCCCTGCATACAGGGACTTCAGCTGGCCATGCACTGCTTAGATTTTCCAAAGAATTTTCTATTAGTCCATGGGTTCTAACGGACAATCGATTTTGAGAGAAGTGACGAAAAAAACTAAAAGGAGCAGGATGGAAAAACGAACGAAATTCAGTGAATGTGGTTTCGATCGGGAAACTCCATTAATTCCAAAATGGAAAGTTAGAAATCAAACGAAATTTCGATCGACATTCCTCAAATATCTGATGGCATTATCGAGTGGTAAAGAAAGATCTTTCATACGAACATTCATTCAGAAATCTACTTGTGTATGGCCAGCTTTACTGTGAGGTATTCAAACCTACAGCACATCAACACAAATGTATATAGAAGAATTAAAAGGACAGATTCTCTGTACACCCATTTCACGTGCTATAGGATCAAATATAATACAATAAGGTTTTGTTAGAAAGTATTGAACATGTAAACAGCCAGAATTGTAAAAACATTTTCAGAAGGTGGCTAGCCATGACAGTCTACATACATTTTGTTTTTCTTTAAAGCAAACCTGTACTGAAGTAGTATAGAGGCTATCAGTGATGACTAAAAGGGAGGAATGCTAACATTACAATGCACAAATGGTTGTAAGATACATAAAAATCTAGAGGAAAGTGGAGCTGTAGCTGCTGCATTTTGACGTTTCCAGGAGAAAGCTAATAGGGCCCATGTGCCACCACCGTTTTTCCACCAAGGCTTTAAAGCAGGAGTAGCCAAATTTCTATGGAATTCAGGAGTCAGTCTGTCTAATCCACGAACCTGCAGGATTTATTTTTTTTAGCAGTCAGTTCTATTGACAACATTTAGAGAAAACCTCAAAAGTTAGGTGACAGCCTTAATTTGTAAGCAACACTGGTTACCTGGCTCCTGGGAATTATCCAGCCCTGCTTTAAGGGCAGATTCTAAGACCTTGTACCTACAAGGGCAACATTCAGAAATGCTGCCAGCAGTGACTGAAACAGTGCTTTTTTTGATTATTGGGTAAGAAAGCCATTAATAATCATCATGCTACAGAGCTGTCACTTCCATCCTTGTTTTAAAACTGAATGAGTAACTAACACAGAATAAGTATGTGCATATGGACTATGCAGACATCTGTTATACAGAAGCTTGTTCTAGGTCAAATCACATGCCAAATTAGGGGAGAAGGAAGACAACCCCTGGAGAACCTTCAGAAACCAGTCAGCAAAGGCAGCCCCCTTATATTATATTCTGACAAGCTTCCTAATAAAATGAGCCTGGGTTCAGTTTAAAGTGGCTACAGGCAGGCTGGCATATAAAGCCGGTAGTAGCCACCTCACACCCTCAATATTGGTTGACATAACTTGTTTTACAAAGCATTATTTTTTCGATAGCCTTCTTCTAAAAACGGGCAAAAAAAAGAACAAAAAATAAAGGAAAGTAAAAAGTGCCAAAAAATGTGGTTGGTTAATCCCAATTCATTTAGGATTGCATTAGCAAGCAGAAAGGCCTGTAAAATTAATGTTAACACATTAGTCTCTATTAGGCACATTATAAAATACAATAGTAATAATTCGCCAAAATATGGGCACCAGAAACCTGTGAACATACAGCAGACCCATATATCTGTGAAACGGTATAATCACCCAGCAGAGAAATCAGTCTTCTTACCAAACACAAGCAAATAATGTAAGAAAATGAAAGCCCTTGCCTGTAAAGATGCAAAATCCAGGGCTAACACAAAAGTCCCTGCAAATATTGGCAAGAAAACAGGCTTTGGGGGGCATAAGTACCATGGAGTGCCAGGAATTGGTGTGGTAGCTACTGGGCGGGCTTTTTGGGCAGCTTTTTCTTCCTCCGTCATTTCTTCTTCTTTTGGTTCCTAGAAAAAAAAATGGCATTGAATTTGGGAAACAGAAAAAGTTACCATGTAAATGCTGCATTCACCAACTCATCTTGTTGCTTTAGACTCTATGGGCTGAGGAGGCGCAAAATCTGGGCTTGGATCCTAGGTTCAATTCCAGCCATGAAAACCCCACTATCTATATTGAATCTATTGGTCTTCCTATATCCGCACACATTTTCTTTGTCTGTTTTTGTATGGGGAGGGGGGGTTCTTTTTTTTTTTCCCAACAGTGTTAAATAAAATTTTAAAAATAGATTTCAGCTATGCCTCATCCTTAACGTTCCCAAAACCAGAGCCATAAATATTAACCTCATCATTAAATTAAACCATTACCCCTAAAATGTAAACACGTCTTAACACTCAACCTATGGTGGTGAGGGGGTAGAACCACTGTCATGTTTTTTGCGGTCTATTTCCCCATTAAGGAGGTGTACTTAAATTTTCCTGATTTCCAATCTTATGGGGAATGAAAGTGAGGGTAATTCTGAAGCTGAGTTGCCACCAGAACAGGAATAAAGGAGACATCTTCCAATAGAGGCACTTGTTTATGTGACAACTGTTTGAAGGGGAGATTTCCCTCACATTAGAAAGATATAATTTTACTTCCTGTTGAATCAACATGACAAGATGTGAAGAAAAACCTTCCCGAGACACACATGGCAAAAACTGACAGCGGTTTTAACTCTCCCCTACTCCTTGCAAAATAGATATTCTTTAGCCTTAAAATAAACCATTAACCACTAAAGCCTAACCCTAACTTTAACAACTCCTAAACCTAACATGTCGCCTTCAAGTCCATACTTGCGATACAATAGCCATGCTGGAATTGGCTTTAAAAGACTCCAAAATTGTCCCTAGAATGTGTGTCTGTATGAAAAAGTTATGGGAGACTTTACACCATAAGCTCCATCAATGGCAGGGACTGATGTGAATCATTCTCTACATACAGTAAAGTGTACTGTAATCTGTTGGTGCTACAAATAAGTACAAGAATGATGTGAGAGGATGGCAGGGGGGCAGTGTAAATACAAGATAACGAAAGTACCTTGTACCAAAGTGCCAAAAATCACTCTCGGGATCTCACATGCACAGTTCAATACCCCCTCCCCTAAGACAGGAAAAAATAGATGCAGTAGTTCTACTTCCTTAGTTACCTCTCTTTCCCCAGCCTGTGATTAGACTATGAAGAACAGCAACACATTGATGACATCACCCCTGTAGTCAGTAAGCATTGTGCAAGTAAAAATAGCCCTGATTGGTTCAGAGAACTGAACTTTCTTCTCCCAGTCTGAGAGCTGCTGTGTAAAGAATTACAGGGGGGCAAAACAAGACTCATTCAGATTCAGGTACATATGCACAATGTCCAAATATCTGATTCTTTCATATAACTGTAACTGAATGCATTTTTTTAATATTTAAAGAACTCCTCCAAGAATTAAAGAACTATGAGGTGAGTGAAAATCACTCATCCTCATAGTTCGAGCCGACGGGTGACAATGAAACTGTCACACGTCGGCTCAATAGATTGGGAAGTGAGCAAACACATACCACCACTCGCTCACTTCACGATCATCTCCCTGCAGTAAGCGGTGACTGTCAGTCACGGCTCCCTGCATGGATTCCCCCGCTCCTCCAGCGCTGACTGGAGGAACAGATGGGGGAGGGGGCGGGCACAGCTGGCTCTGCCTCTAGATAGGCAGAGCCCGCTGTCACTCACACAGCTGGGTGAATTTCTACAACATTGTCGGATCAGTCCCGGCTGCAGCGGTCTCAGTATACTGCGAGCTGTAGCTCGCGATATACTGAGCTTTGGGTCACGGGAGGACGCTAGTATATGTCCTCCCATGAGCCTTAAGAGAACTTACAGGCTTCAGCATTCATTTACGGAATTGCATCAGCAAACTTACAGCAGGTATAATTGCATTTCAGCAACAAGTGTTTTAGGCATCCAGAATGAATGTGAAAATGTAATGAGACTATTTTGCAAAAAGTGCAGTCTCTTCTACAGCAACTGGTGTGTATTCATGAACAGTTGTTTTGCATTTGCCTTCTAAAGTTCAGAAGAGCTGGGATCCATTTTAAAGCATTGATTATCACTTCACTACTGCTATAGTGTGCTGCACTAGTTGTTTAGAATGCTTTTCCTGGATCAGGTAGCGGGAGAGTTTCTGGTTCTACTAATGTTGTTGCTTTCCTTTAAATATCAGGCTGAACAGAGAATGTTACTTGGCTTGCAAAACAACAATAAAGCAGGATTGACAATAACACAAAGCAACTAATCTCAGCTGTTATTGTCTCCGCAGAACACCTGATTTCTTATTGGCTGCCTACCGTTACCGCTCATGCTGTTTTATTACACAATTAAAGGTTTTACAAAGACAAGATTCTAGATTTAGCAGTTCCAGATTTTAATCTAGTGGATAACACGTCAATTATAAGTGATCAATCACTTAGTAACTTACGCATCTTGAGATAATCGTAGCAAACGTTGACTCAAAAAACCAAACAACATGCCCGCCCCACAATAAAGTAATCAAAAAGGATAATACCAAGAGTTTGGTTGCAGGCTTTTACCTCCTTAATCTCCTTGGGAGGTTCTTCCTTTGGCACCTCTTCCTCGGCCTCCATTGGCTGGGGTTCCTCCACAACTGGCTCAGTCTTAACTGTCTCCTTTACTTTCTCCACTTCTTTATCTAAAACAAATTGTAAGAACAGTGACTACAACTTCCCAGCAAGCAGTTATTAACCTTTTGTAGAGACTTCCAAGAGCTCTTGCTGGGTAATCTGTATGGTAAAACATGCAATTTAATCTTGGTAGAAAGTCTGTGCACTACACACGACCAAATATTGAGAAGGTTATCATGCCCACTGATGTTTATTAACAGTTTGCTATAAAAAATATTTGCAGTCACCTTTAGCATCAAGATCTGCATTAGTGGCCAAAAGAAAGTGGTAACTGGGTCACAAAGTGGCAGGATTTGACACTTTATAGCTGAAGATGGAAACCATTTTAAAAGGGTAATTACACTTTCTCACAAAATGTGAGAAAATGAACTTGCACAGAGCATCCCGCCACCTCTACTATTCATACATTTTAGCTGCATGCAGAACCCTCGCACCACTAGCCAGCGTCAACACCGTGAGTGCTAATAGCACAGCAAAGTCAAATGGCCATGCTGGCCAAAGAGAAGCGCTTCTTACTTCCGGGGCAGAAGCACTTCTCATTGGTCAGCATGGTCATATGCCTGAGCTGACCAGTGAGTGCTTGCCATTTGCGAGTGTTTTGCTGGATCTTCAGTACTGGGCTGCAGCGCAGTGTAGGACTGTATACTGGCTAGTGGCAGGGGGGTTCTGTATGCAGCTAAAATGTATGAATAGCGAGGGTGGGTAGAGGTGGTGGAATGCTCTTCGTAAGTTCATTTTCTCACCTTTTGTGGGAAAGTGGAATTACCCTTTAATTGGCTCCGGTCTAAATTGGCCCTAGTGTGCGTGTGAGATAGGGACCTCAGACTGTAAGCTCCTTGAGGGCAGGGAATGATGTGAATGTGCAGTATGTAAACCGCTGCCTAAATTGTCGGCGCTATATAAATACCAATAATAAATCAAATATACTGTCAGTAAAATAAATTCTGTATTTTCAACAAAAAAGGAATCCCTTCTAATTAATAGTGACTAAAGGAAAAAATAAATTAAAAGAAAAAAAAAAAACTTTGATGCAGATTATGGTTAGTCAATAACAGGAGGGATGCATACCTTTTTCTTTAAGTTCCTGAGGCTTTTCCCATGTAGACTCCAAAGTGCGATTATTATAATAGTATGTTTTGCCATCGGCAGTTTTATATTCAGACCATTCAGACATCATTGTCGCTCCTGCTAGTGTGGCTTGAGAAGCAGCAAGGGCCACTTGAGGGTGTATCATTGAGACCATTGGAGGACCAATTCCAGGCATGACACCTAGAGACATGTTCACTGGATTAAAATGAGATTGTTCAGAAATATTAAAAACTTTGAACTCTTATTAAAAGGTGCATTTCCATATCTAATTTTCTATAATCTATTGACAAGAACTTCCCTTATACATGCAGAGGCATTAAAAAGGAAACATAAAAAGCATTGCAAAATTGTTTTACAGGTGCAATCTCCAACCCGTCTGCTTGGATCCTTAATTCACTACCTAGTGAGTCATGAATAAGGAAAAAGCATGCAGGATAGGAACTTTTGCAGACTTTGTTTGGCTGCCTTCATGCTTGGCCTAAGTCAGTGACTCACAGGGATGCAGATGCACCTTTAAAAACAAGTAAAAAATCATAGTTCTTATATTTTTATCTTATATACTACTGTATGCTGCAGTTTCCATGTACTGTCCAAAGAGCATAGTAAAGGGCACCTTGAGAACAGTGCCTTTTACTATGTAGGTCTTCAAACACTAAACCTGTAAAGAGGATTAAAATTAGGCCTGAAAAATACTTCTCTTTTTATGGTTTCTAGTAAAATACTTGTGATTGCACACCTTTGTGGTGCTGTGTATTACCACACACTCATTAAAAAACATTATATCGTGCATTAACTTGTTGTGTTGATGCAGGCCATACATGCCTATACACCCCAGAGCACCACAAAATTAGGCCCTGGTGCTTTTTTGCCAATGTAACGCACCCAAAGGTGTCAAACTGGCCTAAAAAGATCTTGGTACAAATGTGTGAGAATCCACAAACAGAAGTTGCCATTTCCAGCATCTAGACTACATTCTAGTCCTGGGTTCAGTGAAGCTAGATAGGCCCCAGGGGTCAGAATGGCAGCATCTCACACAGGTATTTTACTTTGTAAGAGATGCCCTTCAAGAGTTTTTATACTTCTATTACTTGGTATATCACACCCGATGAATCGGAGCCTTCAACAAATGTAATTATTCAACTTAAACTGACTCCTTTAAAACATTTCATTAGCATACGAACAATCTAAAGTCAAGAGCATCAACTGTTACTAATGAGCATTACCCAACTCCATCCACATCTGATATTGAAATTTCAGAGGGTAACCATTTCCAAATTTGTAATATCTTTTGAGAATGTAAAGGGTGAGAAAATGTCAGATTGTGGCACCGCAGCTTCCAAATGTGTTGTTTATTCTCTGTGTACTCAACTCCATCCACACCTGATATTTAAGTTTTAGGGGCTACCCTAGAGCTAAATACATTTTAAGAATGTAAAGGGTTAAAAATGTTTGGATTGTGGCACCACAGCTTCACAAAGTTGTTGTTTATTCTCCATCTGTGTTTCCCATAGTGCAGAAGGTAACCACTGTGGTTCTCAGCCAGACTCACAATGGAAGTGAAGAAAACATTGCTCACTGATGATGATTCTGGGTCAACAGAACTGTATGCTTCTCTGAGCAGCAATGTGTATTAGGAAAACTGGACGTTGGCTTTCTAGGTTACAGGTACATTACAGGTACATGTGGTAAGCTCTGCTCTTTCTGGTGGTATATGGCTGAACAAGGTTTGGGATACACAGTTCAGCAAGACAAGAAATCCATCAAGGGAGCCTAAGCCCATAACTGGGCTTTACAATAGCTCTGGAGCTAAACAGAACTTGAGATTGTGGTGGAGATATCTGATCACCAGATTTCCCTAGAGATGTATACGAAGACAGCATTCAGCTTTTCAGCAATCACATAAAACTAAAATATAAGCATGGGTGGAATTGACCTTTAACAAAATATTTTGTAGAGATTGGACTGTGATCTCGGCCACACAGGCACATTTTACTGCGCTGCAGACAGATGATTGATGCTTAAGTCTCCATTATTGCAAGATGAATCAGGACAGCGAGTGTGACGAAGTGCAATATGTTTACCGCCAGGTCCTGGATTCAAAGAACTTCATACAGCTCTGCTGCCTGTACTCTGCTCTGCAGTTGGCCAGTTGATGGACAAATCCTCTTTGGGAAGGACGACACCAGGCCAGTGGCAGAGCAGAGAGCAAACACCAAGAGTGCTGGTTTCGTAAATTGAAAGAAAGACATCTCTGGATGAAGAGCATAAAATTAAGTATATTGCACACCATTAGACTCACTGTGGCATGCCTGACCCATGGGTAGAATACATTTTAAGTGTGTTTTTTACACTACGTTTGCATGTTTTTACATGTCTTTGCACTGAAACACATGAAAAACACAAACGTGCACTACAAAAAATAAGACATGAATAAAGCACATCTGTGAGAATAGGCCAGACCCGAAGACTGTGTACTCTGTGACCCTGTATGTCACCTACAAATACTGGGAATTGGGGTAAAATGTAAAAGAGAAAAGGGGACTCGCAGCATTAATACCCATATGAGCAGCAGTCCATGGGAAATTGTCATTTTACAATTCAAGTACTACTCAAGGAGCTTGCTTGCATCAAATAATCATTTGGCTCAATACAACTTCTGTAGTCCAGGTATCTGGAAGATTCTTGGAGTGCCTTATAACCGCCTTTCCAATTCTGTGCCCACAATGCTTAATTAGCAATTGGTGTGTATACGGCATAACTTGGCTGAAATAATCGAATTCAATGGATGAAGTGACGCTGAGCACAGCCCTAGAAGGAGCACAATGTTCAGCGCACACAAGCAAATCCAACAGCACTGGCCATGTAGCACAAATACTGCATTTCACCCCAAATTTAAAGCAACGAAATATTAAACATAAGCACAATAGGGCGTATTATCATTAGCTAAATTTGTTGAGTCAAATTAATTCTTTTCTTAATATTCTATGCATTTACATTCATCAGTAGCACCAATGTTAACGTCACCAAAGTGCAGTTGATGACATTACTACCGTTGGATTTACTGTAACAAATCAATAAAAGGCTGTTTATGGTGATAACTGTGGCAATTTTGTAAATGCAATATGAACACAAAAAGCAATGCACGTTAGCTATTCAGTGCGTAGAAGAAATAGAAAGGCTGCAGGAATACCAATGTACTGCGCCCCTGGTGACTGATGCTGCGTAGTAAAACCTTTGGGACAGAGTTGCATCCTTTATACAATACAAGCAAGACATTAGTACACAACAATTAAATGTACTGTAAAAGGAATGCACTACAAAGCATAGTCAATTATTAAGACATCTAGAAGCCACATCAAACAATATCTAGACACTGCAGCACTGGCAGGTATCAATTCACTGTTTACATCGACAAAACACACACATGCAGGCAGGCATTAAAACACATCACTAAAAGGAAATAAAAAACAACTTAAAGCAGTGTTGGGATAACAGGAAAATGTGTTAAAGACGGCTTCAGTCGGTTAAACCATACCTACGCATATTTAATTATCTATTAGATCATAATAACTAGAGTGCAATACTCCTGCAGGGAGGGATAGGCTGCAAACACGGTATCAGAAAATACGGGAATAAAAGAAAAATAACAAAAAACAAACTACAACAGCACTCACTACCATGCCAACTGTCAAACAAAAACTGAAACAGTATTAAAGAGTTACCGGTTTTGGTGGTAGCGACTGTCTTTACATACGGGCAGCTGACTATTTGCATCATTGCTACACCTGTAAAATGGATATGCAAACATGTTGGAACGCAGCAGATAGCACTGTGTCTGCTACCATTGGGGCTGGTCAGATATTACATTATGAAAGCATCTAAACATTGCCTGCTACTTCAAATAATCAGGACATGGGAACAGCTATAGAACATTGGAACATTGCTTTTTCACCTCACCCTCTGCAAACCTCTAAATATATACTAACTAAGCCCTCACGGGCAGGGCCCTCCTTACCATCTTGTCTTGAATTGTATTGTGATTGTAATGTCTTCCTTATATTGTAAAGCGCCGCGCAAACTGTTGGCGCTATATAAATCCTGTATAATAATAATAATAATAATAACTACTGTTTTACAAAGGCTTACATTCCAGCTTACACTTGCAAATTTTCAATTGACTATAAAGTGCCAAAGTACCACAGTGTAAAGTATAAGTTATAACACAATATGCAAGACAAGTTTCACACTATAGGGGCACTTTTTTGTTATTGTCTTGAAACCATCCTACATCATGAAATGCTCTAATGCTATTAAAGTCACCTGGGACCACCAATACCGATTTATGGCTGGTGTGCGATCAAGAAGCTCACTGAAATCATTCTACTGCTAAAATCTTAGGAATGAAAGTTGAAGCAATACCAGTTTGCTTAAAGCAGAACTCTGGGCAAATCAAATCTTAACCCTTGCAGGGGTGCTACCCCCACTCTGTAAGGGTTAAAGGAGAACTATGAGGCGAGTAAAAAGCACTCATTCTCATAGTTCGAGCCGACGTGTGACAAAGAAGCTGTCACACGTCGGCTCAATAGATCGGGAAGTGAGCGAATGCATACCGTCGCTCGCTCACTTCTCGATCATCTCCCTGCAGAGAGCAGTGACTGCCAGTCACCGCTCCCCACAGGGATTCCCCCTCCCTGCTTCGATCCTCTATCGCTAACTGGAGGAGGCTGGAGGAGGCAGTATTGTCGGGATCCATCCCAGCTACGGCGCTCTCAGTATACCGCGAGCTGAGGTCCACTATAGACTGAGCTTTGGGTCACGGGAGGAGGTTAGTATGTGTCCTCCTGTGACCCTAAAGAGAACTAAGGGGAAAAACACTTACACCATAGTTCTCGTTTAAGTGTCCCTTTGTCTAAGGAGCTAAATTAATAAAGATATACTCGCATGATCCTAGAATGTTCCCTTCAGCCTCACTTCCCCCTCCGCTCAGGCGGTCTAAGGTCCTACGAGTCTTTTTCTATAAAGCGTATAGGATGTGAGGACGCTGAGGGACATTCCATCGCTGGAGGGGAGGAGAAGACAGGCTGGAGGGAGCCGTTTAGGAGCCAGCCTACTACACTGCCCATCTACCATTGTGGAGAAAGGAAAACATTTTTTTTTTTTTTTATAATCTTAAAACCTGCAGCAGTACCATTTAGGAAAGCAGAATTCAAGGGGGACTTAACCGCCTAGTAAAGCAGATAGCTGAAAATATACCTTTCACCTGTTTACTAGTGTAAATGTGCAACACGAATAAGAAGCAGATGCACTCATTTGATACACTCACACTATAGCGCTGACTGGCGGTTTTCAGTAACTGAAGGACACCAGTCACCGCTAGGGTGCGCAGAAAAATGCAATGGACTGCGCCGCAGGTCCCCACACTGCTGTGTAGGGACCTGACAGGAGTGTACAGCATTTTACCGTGCAGCTAATATGAACCGCTGACCAGTGGGTGGAGTCTTGTCGCGCTGAAAAGCGCCCTGCGCACGAAAAAGTACTTGAGCTTCTTTTTCGCACGTAGGGGCAGATTTCAGCGTGTAGCCATTGGTATTCCTGAGTGTGGCTCGGGGTTAATTTTCTGTACCAAAGCAGTAACCCCGAGCCACACTTGGGACTACAGCATAGTTCTTACCTTGTCCGCGATCCCTGATGTTTCCTCCGGCCGCTGCCGGAGGAAACAGTGCTTCAAGCGCAACGGCAAAAACGGGCATAAAACGTGCCTAATAGGAACGCCCAGATGTGAACCCAGCATAAAATCAGAACTGTTGTGTGAAAAAAAAACGACATATATGGCCAGCATTTTGCACAAACTGTCTGACTGGATGCCCATTTGATTTAAGTTCAATTACATTTAAGCTTAGCAATGAAAAGACATGAAGCTTGATACCTAAGAGAAGCCTGAAGGGAAAAAAAGAGAAGCTTCCTCTATGCTCCAGGTCATTTTCAGCAATTATATTTACATGGCTTACAAATCAGGGTAAAAACATTGAAGTATATCTAAAACCAAGAACAAAAATGTATATATGGAAGCTTATCAGTCCTTAGATGTGGTGGCTCTGCATTAGTTTTATTACATTTCCTGCACGTGGAAATACAGGTACAGAAAATTTGGTGTTGATCCTGCCAAAAATCCAGAGTATCCTTGTAACTTCCTGAAAACTGACATCTCAAACAATGTTATCAACCCTCACCAGTTCTCTTCTGTGAACTACTAAACACCTACTGCCTATGTTACTGGAAGGGTCTTCTGAAAGAAAAAGAAAAAAGAAGAAAAACGATTCTGGATAAAATAAATGCAACCACCACACCTAAGGACTTGAAAGTTGCCATATATGCCACGTTCGTGTTTTTGGGTTTAGATATGAGGTAAGCTTCTGAAGAGTGACTGACAGAAAACACGCATGTAGGAAATCATCTATCGGCAAACATTGTGTGAACACGTTAGTATGAACCTGTATACTACAAACATCCAAATGAATGTAGGCCCTGCACACTAGCTGTCATCAGTGCACATGCATGCAAAGGCAATGTAACAGTCACACTCGCACCTTCCACATCACAGCTGTAGTAAACACTTGTGAAACATATACATTTACAGTTTGATAAATGTGTTTGGCTAAAAAAAAAAAAAAAAAATTTTTTATAAATTTAAAGTTTGATAAATGTTTTTGGCTAAAAAAAAAAAAAAAAAAAGAAGAAGCTCAACGGCTTTATCTGCTTTTCGTTTTTGCGATTCACGTACCTCTCTCACACAGACAAATGACATAGGCTATCTCCTGGTTGAGACTCAAAGTGACTATTGCTGGAAAAAATAATCCTGTAAAAGAAGAGTCTTAAACTGGCCATACACCTATAGATTATCTGCAGGTTTTCTCTGGTCAGATGAAAAAATACCTGAACAATCTGATTGGATGCAGGCATTGTTCAGGTATTTGAAAGCCAGCAGGGCGACTAGCAAGGTACTGAAGCTTGCCCCAGTGGGAGATTCCTCCATCCACACAGCTTAGCAAAGATGGAGGAATCTGTTACACTTTTCCATCTGACCATAGAAAATGCAGGTAATCTATAGGTGTATGGCCAGCTTTAACCTGTCTTGGTGTGCGTTTCTATAATCTTCACACTGCTGAAAAACAAAGCATCTCGAAAAATCTTCACACTGGATGTCTGCGTCCCTTACTGTGCTCAGGACACAGCAATGCAGTAAGAGACCATCAAAAGGAACACTACAGGGTGCTGGAGGAGGTGCAGGCATCCAACACATCCAGAGGCGTATTTAATATTGAAGATTCTTTGAGGGGCGTTACCCTGCAACAAAGTGAAGATTCTACGAACAGACACAGGGACATGGAAGCATAAACTCTATTCTTTCATTGGGTCTATTTTTCATTTTTCTTTCAGAGACTTAAGTTGTTTTAAAATATAAATTATTTTATATAAAATGCATATACATGCAGGTATATTTACACATGGGAGGAATTGATATGAAAAGTATAACGTTTGTTTCTACTTTCCAGATCAGTTTCTGTTTTAAATAAAACAATTACAGGAGGCAAGTGTGAACGTAGCCTTACAGTGCTGTCGGGCTCTAATGCCCACTTCTCT